TCTCTCTCTCTCTCTCTCTCTCTCTCTCTCTCTCTCTCTCTCTCTCTCTCCTCACGTAACTTCCCATGAATATCTCTCCCAAAGTCATGTAAATCCCCTTTTCCCTTACTTTCCTATCTTCTCTCCCCTAGATCCTATTTTCAAAGAAATATCTCTACCTCCATAAAAAAATCTCTCTTTAAATCTTAACCCCCATGAAAATAAGAGTTTCCCTTTAGCTCTCGCTTCCCATCCTCGTCTACTCCTCCATACCCACATGTCCCATTAAGTAAACAACTCACCCATAAAAATAGCAATTAACTAAATTCTAATTAAATACCCTTTTTACCCCTCATACCTTAAGTCACAATTCAACCAATAAAATAAAGAAATTACACCCATGGCCCCTATAAAAATAAATTAAAATAAAATTCCCAAATGCGATTTGCATCATACTCCCCGTCTTGAAAAAAAACTCATCTTGAGTTTTTGTTATGGTATCTTCGGCTTCCCTTAGTTGGTCATGAAGTCCAACATCTCCACACAAATGTTCTTTATAAGGCATGAAACTAAACAATTTTGATTCACCTCCGATTGTTATCCTTTTGGCATATAAAGTGGGCAGTATCAAAATCAACTATCTTGTTGAAGAAGAAGCATTGTTTCCAACCCAAAAAAACTGGAAATATACCTGCACAGGAAATATAATTGTTGACAAACACGTCCTGCACCCAGAATTAGAACCGCCAGTCTTTCCTCTAGGTGATCTCCTGCCTGCACCATTTTTTCACCAACCTTACCAACCTTTAATGAAAATCTGTTTGTACCTCTCCTGGAGACTCTAGCCTCAGAATCATCACTTGGATTAGTAACAAAAGACAGCAAATAAACTATTTGGTCAAGAATGCTTTGGTCATCGACACCAACTTCAAGTTCTGCGAATGACAAGGCATCCGCACTTTGACCCACTTCACATCTCACTTAATGAAATGAACCACCAACAGCCTCAATAATATCCAATGCCTCATTGATAAAAATTCATCAAATAAATGACCACTACGAGAAACCAATATTGTGTATTTCTTGCGGAGGCCATTGCAAGGGTTTAGCGGTGAATCAACTGAGTCAGAATTTCTCATGCATGGAATATATTCATATAAAGGTGTAAGCACTCCTTTGTGAGATGTGCAACCTCTTCTTAAATGAGGTAAATCTGAGATGTTAATCGTAGAGGCCAAGACACCAATAAAATTGGATAGGACATCTCCAATATATTGGGTCGCTTCTCTTGCAACCTCAGTTGGAAGAATGTCAACCGCTAGACATATTATACCCTCGCCCTCATATCCTCATGATAAGAAGTTGTGAAGGGATTACTTAAAGAAAGGTTTCTCTATTGACGTAGTTTGATTAACACACTCAATTGAACCGGCAACATCACATGTTATATCAGAAATATCAAAAAGTGGGAATCCTTTTCTCATTATATCTTGTAATTGCTTAGTACTAAGCAATCGAGGAAATCTTCTTTCACAATACATGCAATTCACTATTACTGTTGCATATCGTGCAATTCTTTCACGGAAAATGGGAATGCAGTGTTCTGGATGTGCCTAACAGTCAGCCTTATCAAATGTTTTTGTTGGGTCCAGAGGTGTGACCAAGTCTTCACAAGTTACAACACAAACATATACTTGGAAGCTTCTCATTGATGCCATAATTGAACAAGGTCTCCAGCCATTCCAACGAGTTCTAGAAGAATGGATGGATCAACGAATGCATGAGGTAAAAGCTTAAAAATCTCTTGTGCACCTTAAGAAATAATTCATGATCCTGTGAACACAAACACAACAGGAGATATCCCAGAGGGCAGTCCGAGTGTTGTTATTTCTTCACCCACAGCAAGTATCTTTTGCCCAAGCCACTAAAAAATTCTATCATTCCAACTCTGTCAGCAAATTTTCCAAATGCCAGCAGCCTTCTACCATTTTCACCAACAATAAGCTCGTAGTCATATAAGGATGCTCTCTCCTTGAGAATCTCATCTAAGAAAGGAAAGTTCTCCCTCTGAGCTTTGTGGGTATGGGAAAAAAAGGTATAATCTCTGTCAAGCTTAATCATCTCCATCTTTGGTTGCTTGACTTCCAAAATGATGCCACATTCTGACAAGTCATCTGATATTTCACAGCCAACATCTTCATACTCAAAACCATGGTGAATGCGTTTTGTGCATGGCTGCACAATTATGCAGTCTATTCCGCTTTTATTGCTACAACTGTGTAGAAGACGAGCACAATGTTATGGGCTCGAAGGAGATCTCCTATCCCATAAGAAGCAAGACTCAGACAAAATTCCAACAACGCCATTCCCATACATGGGTACAAAGCACTTTCTCTGTTTACTTGTGTGATGCTCAGGATAGCAACTTCCCCGGTTGGAGATGTTAATCTCTTAGCCTGGGATGATCCGGTGCCAGGGGTGGATCTGGATGCAGTAAAATTCTTTCTTTGCTTGTCTTCACTAATTTCGATCTACTATCCTATGCCAATGACATCGGCATTGGGGTTGTCGATTGCCCAATTTTTCTCTGCATTCATGCTCTCGTTGATGTTGCCGTGCATCAAACTCATAAGTACAATCAAGCATAACATCAGCCCGTTCCCACTTAGACTCGTGCTCACGCAGATCTCCACTAGAAGTCGCACAATATGGATTTAACACCGCAGATCTCATCTTGTTTGATGTATGTTGTTGGGATGTTTGTTTCTGCAACAACCTTTCAACCATCTCTGTCAAGTTGTTGATTTTCGTGTATATTTGGTCATGCTCGGCATTCCCACTCGACCTCCATGACCAGCCATCGTAGTCGCTAACCCTTTTTGAACTGTGCTCTGATACCAAATGATGCGAAAGGAGTCCGGGAAATTAAATTAAGGCCTTCTTTCGATCTTAAACAAGCAAAAATTCCACAACAATGGAAGTCAAAATGTGGCTATAAATCAAGCCATGGAGAAGAAGAAGTTATCTTTCTTCATTCATAAACAAACTCTCTCTGGAAAAATATCAAGTTCCCCTCTAATTGGGACATCACCCCTCTTAATACAAAATTAAAAAACTAAAAGAAAATCTCTCTCTACAATCCACCCACGTCTCTTTCTCTCTCTCTCTCTCCTCACGTAACTTCCCATGAAAATCTCTCCCAAAGTCATGTAAATCCCCCTTTCCCATACTTTCCTATCTTCTCTCCCCTAGATCCTATTTTCAAAGAAATATCTCTACCTCCATAAAAAAATCTCTCTTTAAATCTTAAACCCCATGAAAATAGGAGTTTCTCTTTAGCTCTCACTTCCCACCCTCGTCTACTCCTCCATACTCACACATCCCATTAAGTAAACAACTCACCCATAAAAATAGCAACAATCTAAATTCTAACTAAATACCCCTTTTACCCCTCATGCCTTAAATCACAATTCAACCAATAAAATAAAAAGATTGTATCCATGCCCCCTATAAAAATGAATTAAAATAAAATTCCCAGATGCAATGTGCATCAATGTTACATGCTATATTGATCATCAAGTAACAAAAAGTTTATCGATCAAAATAGTAAAAGTCACAACAAAAAGTAGTTTGAATTCTTCCAAGCAGCTTCATGGGTCCTGATAAGCAATATATCCCAACAATTAATCATCTAACCAAAACATGAGACTTACTTATTTATGACCCCCAACATATCATTCGTGGACTCCTTGACATGACACTAGTATCTAGCATATGACATTAGTTTAGGAAATAACAACAGCAAAACATATTAGAAGTTCCAAAGTCTAAATTCATGTTTTTCAAGGGTTCAAACTTTAAAACCATAGCCAATCCATTATGTAGGTAATTGCGCTTTATTCAGATTCCTGAAAATGATGAACATATACTCATAAAACATATTTGCATCTGCAGTATACTAACAAAAGTATAGTCATGTTGGTATCTTATACATGGTTCCATATCTACGTTATAAGAATGACAATAAATTTTAACATATTTTTCACATCTACATTGTACAGAACGAAGAGAATTTTTAACATATTTTGCAAAGCAATTACAGAAAAATTTGCAAAAAATAAAGTAAAAAAAAACAATATTGATACTATATGAAGCAGCATCAAGCAATGACAATGAAGTATGGAAAGAGATAATGTAGTGTGGATGACCAATATGTTAAAATGAATACTAGATGAGAAGCAGACATCCTAACCTTATGCAATAAAAGCAAAATGAATGTAATAAAAAAATCAAAACAAGCACACACACCTCACAAATTTAGGCATTCCGTGACTCATAGCTTAACTTAACAATGGTGTGATACACATTCAGAGAAGCAATAGGATCTCTATCAAGTAAGTTCTCAACGCACTGAAGAAGAAATCTCAATATATGCCCCTGTAAAAGACCATTCTATAGCACTCTTCTTCTTCCTACAAAGCAAAAACAAAGGAAGGGCATCATCCTGCAAGAAACAATTCCTGCAAAATTATATTAAAAAAGCATATTTATATGTAGAAGACACCATTATGACTGTGAAGAACAACAATTATTTATGGGTATACATGCAGGGACCTGTGTAAAACGTTTCAAGCATGCATTTATCAAAATGTAAAGTTTCTAAGAAAGATTGTATGTATTCCATGCAATTGGTATAATTGTACTCGTAAGAATTTAGAAACAATATCTATTGTTCTTTGGTATGGCCTCCATAGTGGATTTCTACATGTTTTACAAGTAATAATGCACAATATTGGCAATTTGGTACATATTTCATGATCAATAATCCCGTATAGGTTTGTTCTTAATTTCCTTTTATTTTCTTTTCAGAAGATTCCTGGAATGGTTTTGTACAAATTTCAAATACTGGTAAACATGGAATAGATAATACAGATTCAAGAATAGTTTCCATAAATACATTAAAAAAAACAAAAAAACAGTTCTCTAGGTTTAAAATTGGATTGGTGGGGCAGATCCCCACCCACTGATCCCGGTCCGGATTGGACGGATCAGAGAATGGCATAACCAAAAAAACAAAAACATGTTATATAGTTTAATATTTGTGTTGTAAGACAATCTGGCTTACGTTTTGTTGGCTAGACCTCCTAACCTCTTATCACAAGGTCAGGGGTAAGAATCCCCAATCTTACCACATGAATTTCTTTTTCACTCAGACCCCCATTCTTTTTTTCTTTTTTTACACTTACTACATACTTGTTTCTAATGTTGAAGGTTCAAAAAATTAGAAAGTTGTACCTCATGAGGTTTGACCTCCTAACCTCTTATCACAAGGTCAGGGGTAAGAATCCCCAATCTTACCACATGAATTTCTTTCTCACTCAGACCCCCATTCCTTTTTTCTTTTTTTTCACTTACTACATACTTGTTTCTAATGTTGAACGTTTAAAAAATTAGAAAGTTGTACTTCATGAGGTTCAAACCTCTGACCTTGTGGGCAACAAAAAGACGTGCTAACCAAATCATACATTTTAAATTTTTGTTATAAAATCACATACTACATTATATAAATTAGCATATCACCGATTCTGGATCAATGATTCCTGATCCAGAATTCCAGATTGATGATCTTTCAAACATGATACACACTAAATAGTATTCTGGGGCCATTAAGAAATAAATGTAGGGATAAGAAGCATTTCCTGCACAATCATATTCAAAAAGCATAGTCTATTTAGAATCAAGGTTCAAAAACTCAGTTCCGGCTTGGGGCCAAAAAGGTCTAATGAATAAAAATTGTTAACAAAATTAAAAAAATTAAAAGCAAAGTAAACTATAAACAACACTAGAAAGTCTAAATTCCATATATATATATATATATATATATATATA